ACTGCCTGAGGTGTCCCACTGCTCAAGTAATTGGAGCGACTCCAAGGAGGGTCTGCAGCCTCACTGTACTGGGGGTGCCCACAGCAGCCCTTACTGTGTACTCCTCTGTGTCATTCTGGACACCCTCGAGGAAGGGCCTGGCTGAGGCTTGTCCTCCAGGGGAACCCACACATCCAGCTTCAGACCGCAGCAGGCCAGCGAGCCTCATCCTGCCCTGGCCTCGGGACCCGGCTGCCTGAATGGTCAGCCACCGAGCTCTGGCCACATGCCAGCACCGTCCCATCCTCAACCTAATTCTCCAAAGTAAGTGTGATTAAAACCCCCATTTTACAGATAGGAAACTGAGCCTCAGAGCACTTAAATTCCATAGCTCGCTGGGGCTACACACTAGTAAATGGAGGAGCCAAAACTTGATCCAGAGGCTAGTAGTGGCCCCCAAGGGAGACTGGCCAAGGGAGCCCTGTCCTTCCACCTGCTGGGAGTCTGGAGGTGCCTTACTCTTGCTCTGAATGAAGCTGGGAACCCAAAGATGGATCTAACCTGGGCCTGCAGACTTCAAGGGCAGCATAGGGTTTGAAGGAGCCCAGAGGAGGAGTGGTGACCCCACCTGGCACACCAGGGAGGGCTGCCAGCGTAGGTGCTGGCAAGGTGGCATCAAACTCTCAACTCAACACGCCCCCACCAAGCTTACCTCGTCCTCCCACCCTGTTGCTCTGCCTGCTTTTATCTTTGTGACTGATAGGCTCCACACCCCTAATCTAGAAAAGGCTCCATGCCTCCCACTGCCTGGCCTCCTCCTTCAGTTTCCATCCCTCTCCCACCAGCCCTATGGCCTCTGAATCTGTTTCAGGCCCTGCCTCCACACTCCATCCCCACACCCGTCTGTCCCATCCGGACTTGCTCCAGCCTCCCCACTGGAGGAAGCCTCTCCAGACCCCAATCTAGGAGACACGCTGACAGGCTGGGAGCACGGTGGACAGCTCCGTGCGTGGCCACTGGCCAGTACAAACTCCAGAAGGTGTGTGGATGTTTAAAAAAATGGCCGCAAATTCTGCCATTCCTCCATCAAGAGGTGGGGGGCCACATCTCTTCCCCTTAAATCTGGGTGGGTGACGCCAACTGCAAGGTCAGGCCAAAGTCACAGTGCCACAGGACAGTGCCTGATGCAGTGCCACACAGCGTGGCCAGTGCTGTGGGACACTCGTGCTTGGTGCCTGTTGCCATGCTGTGGGGAAGCCTGGCCATGTGCAGAGGCCAGGTGGAGGTGCCCAGGTGCCAGACATGCAGGTAAAGGAGCCATAACCTCACCAGGCAGAGGTAGGCCATCCTGCTGTGCCAGCTGTTTTATGCCCCTGAGTTTAGGGTGGTTTGTGGTACAGCAAGAGATAAGCAAAGAGGGGATTCTGTGGCTTTCCCCATCGCCCGCATCACCCCTTTCTCAACAGTGCCTGCTGGAGCCTGTGCGGGCTGGGCCTGCGGAGGCATCGCCGGGCTTGGACTCAGCGCAGGGCCCAGCCCCAGATCCACTGTTTATGTGAATCCCTGTAAAACAGAAGGGCAGGATTAGAAGCAGGAACAGTTGATATGACTGCTCTGCCACATTCCCAAGCCACCGCATGCACCCAGCCCCAGACTCCATTTGGGTCTGGGCTCTCAGCTCACTCTACGGTATCGAGTCCCTTCTGGCCGTGGTGTCCAGTGAGGACCTCAGTTTGGGTAATCCAGGAAGCCTGCATGTAAGAGGCAGGCAGAGTTAAAATAATTATATTATTTTGTTTATTTATATTAAAATATCATATTAATTTATATTGATTATATCAACATTAAAATACTATGTTCTTAATACATACGGAAAATAATACTTCTTGAAGAAATGTCTGACAGAAAAAGCATACAGAAAAAGAACACATTCTTTGAAATCTCAGTGTCCACAAATCACCATGGCTGACGACGTGGTGCATTCCCTACATTTCCACCAAGAAACTCAGACCAGGCCGTGACCTTTGGCAAACTCTCCTGACAGCTCAGGCAGGGCAGAGAGCGGCTGGCCGACGGGAGAGATCCCACCTCCCGCACAAGAGCCCGCATTTGGGGCACGGCCCCTGAGGAGTGCCCCGCGTGCGTCCGAGCGACAGGCGCCCGCAGAGCGCCCGCCCGCCCCCAAGCCATCGCCCTTGAAGCCGCCCGCGGGCTCCCAGGCCGCGCACGAGGGCGGCCTGCACCCCGGGGCAGCGCGCGTCTGTCCGCAGGAGGGCGGCCTGCACCCCGGGGCAGCGCGCGTCTGTCCGCACGAGGGCGGCCTGCACCCCGGGGCAGCGCGCGTCTGTCCGCACGAGGGCGGCCTGCACCCCGGGGCAGCGCGCGTCTGTCCGCACTATCGGCCCTCTGGCAAGCTGCGCGTTTGCCGCACTTTTGATGTTTCTGGCCCCGCACTCCCGGGGGCATTTTTTCTGCTTTTTTTTCTGTCCGCTACGAGGGCTCTTCTTTATCCTTTCTGGCCAGGCGCGCGCTGTCCGCACGGAGGGCGGCCTGCACCCCGGGCAGGCCGCGTCTGTCCGCAGGAGGGCGCCTGGCACCCCGGGCAGCGCGGTCTTAGGCCCACAGAGGGCGGCCACCCCCCCGGCGCAGCGCGCGTCTTCCGCACGAGGGCGGCCTGACCCACCCCGGGGCAGCGCGCGTCTGTCGCACGAGGGCGGCCTGCACCCCGGGCCAGCGCGCGTCTGTCGCGGGAGGGCGGCCACGAACCCGGGGCACGCGCGCGTTGTCCGCACGAGGGCGCCGCCTGCACCCCGGGGCAGCGCGCGTCTGTCCGCACCGAGGGGGCCCGCACCCCGGGCAGGCGCGTCTGTCCGCACGGAGGGCGGCTCCGCACCCCGGGGCATGCGCGCGTCTGTCGCCACTGAGGGCGCCTCTGCACCCCGGGGCAGCGCGGTTCTGTCCGCTACGAGGGCGGCCCGCACCCCGGGGCAGCGCGCGTCGTCGCCACGAGGTGCGGCCCGCCCCCGGGGCAGGGGCGCGTCTGTCCGCAGGAGGCGGCCCGCACCTTTGGGCAACGCGCGTCTGTCCGCACGAGGCGGCCGCACCCCGGCAGCGCGCGTCTGTCGCCACGAGGGCGGCCCGCACCCGGGCAGCGCGCGTCTGTCGCACGGAGGGCGGCCGCACCCCGGGGCAGCGGCGGTCTGTCCGCAGGAGGGCGGCCTCGCACCCGGGGCAAGGCGCGTCTGTCCGCAGGAGGGCGGCCGCACCCCGGGGCAGCGCGTCTGTCCGCACGAGGGCGCCGCACCGGCAGCGCGGTCTTCGCACGAGGCGGCCCGCACCCCGGGGGCAGCGCGCGTCTGTCCGCACGGAGGGCGGCCTGCACCCCGGGGCAGCGGCGCGTCTGTCCGCAGGAGGCGGCTCACCCGGGCAGCGCGCGGTCTGTCCGCAGAGAGGCGGCCCGCACCCCGGGGCAGCGCGCGTCTGTCCGCACGAGGCGGCCTGCACCCGGGGCAGGGCGCGTCTGTCCGCACGAGGGGCCCTGCACCCCGGGGCAGCGCGCGTCTGTCCGCACGAGGGCGGCCTGCACCCCGGGGCACGCGCGTCTGTCCGCACGAGGGCGGCCGCACCCGGGCAGCGCGCGTCTGTCCGCACGAGGGCGCCTGCACCCGGGGCAGGCGCGCGTCTGTCCGCACGAGGGGCCTGCACCCGGGGCAGGGCGCGTCTGTCCGCAGTGAGGGGCGGGCCTCACCCCGTGGGCAGCGCGCGCTGTCCGCAACGAGGGCGGCCTGCCCCCGGTTGCAGGGCGCGTCTGTCCTCACTCGAGGGCGGCCCTACCCGTGGTCAGGGCGGTCTGTCCGCACGAGGGCGGCCTGCACCCCGGGCAGGCGGTCTGTCCGACGAGGGCGGCCTAGCACCCGTGCAGCCCGCGCGTCTTCGCACGAGGGCGGCCTGCACCCCGGGGCAGCGCGCGTCTGTCCGCACGAGGGCGGCCTGCACCCCGGGGCAGCGCGCGTCTGTCCGCAGGAGGCGGGGCGCCGCCTCCCCCAGCGCGCGGCCCGGCTGCCCGCCAAAGGCGTCCGAATCGGGCAGAGGCGCCGAGCCCCTGCGCCCCCGGCCTCGAGCGGCCCTCCGACCGCAGTGCCGGGGCCGCCCGCGGGAAAGGCGGCCGGAGCAGCGGGCGGCGGCCAGGGCGCTTCCCGAGGCCCGTCCCGCCGGCCGGGCTGGCGCGGCGCTCCCCGGGGCGCGGGCGGCGCGCAGCCTGTGCTCGCACCGCGCGCTTAAAAGCGTCTGCCGGGCTCTGAAGCCTGACTCCGGGCCCCGCGGCCCTCTGCGGGCCTGGCCAGCGCGGCTGCCGCTCGGACCTCGGCCCGCGCCCGGCGGCCGGAGCGCTGACCGAGAGCCCGGGCCAGGGCCCGGTCCCGCCGGCTCCCAGCCTGCATTGCGGCCAACCGGGCGCTCGCCCGGGCCGGCGGGGCAGGGCTGGCGTGGCGGCGCGCGGCCGGGTCGGCGGGGCTAGCGGGCCGGGTGGCGGAGCGGGGCCGGTCGGCGGGGGTGGGTGGCGGGCCAGGGTGGCAGGGCTGGCGGGCCGGGGTGGCGGCAGGTGGCAGGGCTGGCGGCCGGGGTGGCGGCGCCGGGGTGGGCGGGTGGGGGCCGGGTGCGGCTGGCGGGCCGGTGGCGGGCGGGGCCGGGGTGGGGGGCTGGCGGGGTGGCGGGGCGGCCGGGGTGAGGCTGGCGGGCCGGGGTGGCGGGGCTGGGCGGGTGCGGGGCTGGCGGCCGGGGGTGGCGGGGCGGCCGGGGTGGCGGCGGGCCGGGTGGCGGCGGGCCGGGGTGGCGGGGCTGCGGCCGGTTGGCGGGCGGGCCGGGTGGCGGCTGGGGGGCCGGGTGGCGGGTGCTGGGCGGCCGGGGTCGGGCTGGCGGCCGGGTCGCGGAGGGGCTGGCGGGCCGGGTGGCGGGCGGCCGGGGGTGGAGCTGGCGGGCCGGGGGTGCGGGGCGGGCCGGGGTGGCGGGCTGTCGGGGGGGCCGGGGTGGCGCGGCCGGGTCCGCGGAGGGGCTGGTGGGCCGAGAGCCCACGAAGGGTTGAAGGTTCTCTAAAATTATGCCATGTTTGGCCTGGGCTGACCTCAGAACCTCCTCTGCTTCACTCGTGCGTCCCGTGCCTGTACTGTGCTCTGGACACATTTCCTTTTGAGTTTTCCTTACGATTCACTGAATGTTTCTATTAAAGCCGTGCACCGCATAGTGCTAAATGCCAAACAGCACTGCCGGGCTCGTAGCAACGCCACGGAGACACGGCAGCAGCGCCCGCTCCCCGGGCCTGTCCCGGCAAGCAGAGCTGAGCGCCTGCTGTGGGGCCGGCCTGGGCCTGGCTCCGTGACAGGGGCAACCCCAACAGACCGAGTCCCACAGCTGACGTCCTAGTGTCACCTCCTCAGCCCTTGGAGCCCCCACGTCCTTCTTTCTCAGTCACATGCCATACTGCTATTTCTTTTTACTGTCTTTTCAATCGTAGACGGTGCCCAATGGCTTCCCGCCGTAGAAGATGAATAGTTCTCTTAGGAAACCCTTTACTTTGCCTCCTGCAAGCTCCCAATCGCATTTCATCACAATTTTTAGGTATATCAGTATTTGGTGTTTACAGTATTGTTATTACAGTTGAGCTTGCAGTACCTTATGACAACATTTTCTATTTCAGGTTATTTGTTTTCCTGGGAGTTCATAATTGCCTGTTCTGTTCTTGCATCAAGCCCGGCACTCGGTAAGTAGATCCTTTTGATCTTTGGCTCTGGAAAGCTGCAAGGCACAGGCGCTCTTCTTGCAAACTCCCAACTTACTTTGTTTCCTTTCCCACCTTCCCCTCCACTTCCAGATGGACTCAGAGGCCTCCCAAGCTGTGTTTCTGGGGTCTGTCATGTTGGTGGTCTGGCCTTGGATTGGCCCCTCTTCCTGAATAATTTAGTTCCAGCTTCCTCCACTCTGCCTAGTTGGTTACTTACTATTCATTTTCCAGCTTCAACAGTTTTGTAGACTTCTCTTGTCCCTGTCATTGACTTGCCTGTTTACTTTGTGGGTTTGTGACTTATAAATTTTTCATTTTACCATCAATTTTAATGGGGTTTTGAGAAGGATGGGAGAAAACTATGTTGTTTTTTGTTGTTGTTGTTGAGACAGAGTCTCACTCTATTGCCCAGGCTAGAGTGAGTGCCGTGGCGTCAGCCTCGCTCACAGCAACCTCAAACTCCTGGGCTCAAGCGATCCTCCTGCCTCAGCCTCCCGAGTAGCTGGGACTACAGGCATGCGCCATCATGCCCGGCTCATTTTTTCTATATATATCTTAGTTGGCCAATTAATTTCTTTCTATTTATAGTAGAGACGGGGTCTCGCTCTTGCTCAGGCTGGTTTCGAACTCCTGACCTTGAGCAATCCACCCGCCTCAGCCTCCCAGAGAGCTAGGATTACAGGCGTGAAAACTATGTTTAATCCATGGTTCACTAGAAGTCCCTCTCACCTTCTGTCCCTGAGTACCTACTATGTGCCACAGTCTCTTTTAAGCCAATCCCATCCCCAGTTTCACATGGCTCTTTCTTGTCACCCCAGTCTGAGTGCATCGCCTGTAGGAAGGCCTCCCTGACCACCCAGTGCTTCTCTGCAACATCACCCTGCTTTATTTTTGTTCATAGCCTTTACTGCTATTTGAAATGATTTTATATATTTACATTCACTGATGACATACTTGCCTTCTTTCTCAAGCTCCCGTAGAACGTTGCTCCACGAAGGCAGGGACCTGTCTTGCCCCTCACTGTGTCCTCCGTGCTTCCCAGTGCCAGGCAAAAACAGATGCTCAGGAAGTATGTGCTGAATCAATGGGTGGGTGTGAGCATAGGATTTCCATGAGGCAAACTTCAGCATAGCCTAAAAAGTGGCTGGTAATGTCTGTACTTCCTGGGAATGAAAGGCCCTGCCATGAGGATGAGAGCCCCAGCACAGGATGGGTGCAGGCCTGGGCTCGGGATGGCTGAAAAGGGACAGAAGCACCGACAGGACGGCCCACACGGTCTGGCTGAGACAAGTCATTGCCTCAAGGTCACTCAACTACTTCCTGGCTCAGATTAGAAAACAGCCCTTTGCAGGCAGATGTACGTTGCAGGGATGTGCCCATGTTGTGGTGTCGACCCCATCCGGAGGTGCTTCTGCCTCTCTTCTCCCTGGTGGTGTAATATCGTGGCATGGTGCTTTATCTCTCCATGTTTGCAGTACTTCTCACCTGTAATGTGATAAGAACACCCCTCCAGTCTTGGGTTCTAGATAACAAGCACAAGCCTTCTAGTGAAAAGCCCTGATGCACAGTAAGCTGCTATGATCATGGTCTTGGTTAAAAATCAGGCTTTGTCCTTCCTGGCAGTGGGAGCTTGGCATGCTGCTTGAAGCCCAAGGCTTCAGTTTCCTGATCTATAAGATGAAGGTCTAATCACACCAGCTTCACCTGGCTGCATGTCAAGTCACCAGGGCTGGCGTGAAACAGGTGCCAATAAATGCTTGGGCAGGAAGTGTCATACCTGAGGACCCCAGGGGCAGAGAAGCACCATGCTGAGACTCTCGGACTCCTGGACTGGTGTCTGGGGCAGCCACAGGGCTATTGTGCAACCACACTGGGAATCAGGGAGCCCAGACCTAAGGACTCTGTTAGAAGCAAAGAGCTGGCATCTTTCCAGAAGGCAGTGGAGGGAGCTCAAGAACAGCTTGTTTTGCACAGCAGGGTGGTTCAAACCATTTTAGGGGAAGTGTGGGCAGGAAAAGGCAGGGAAAACTGTCTCCATCAGACAGACCGGAATTCAAACAAAAGCTCTGCCATTACCAGCAACCTTGGACACATTCAGGCTCCTCTCTCAGTCTTGGTCTTCTCATCTGTTAAATATAGATAATAATATGCACCTTGCTGGGGTGTTGTGAGCTTTCTTCCATTCCATGAGTTTGCTGAGCACCTACTGTGTGCCTGGGACACTGCAGTAATTAAAGCAAAGGCAGCGTTCCCATGCAGCTTGCATCACAGTGAGTCCACATAGGAGCTGTGAAAATGGGACTTGCTGTTTTGCTAGTGGAGCCACGTCACTTGTGTGAATTCATCCTTTGATACTCAAGAGTGAGGAAAATTTCTTACACATACAGCAGTTGAGCCTCTCTCAAGGTTTCCTGCTCTGTACATCATGGCTTCAGAACCTGATCCTGCCTGAGGGATGCTCAGGAAGTTCTTGTTGCCTGCTGCCTGGCTTCCCAAGCAGAAATCCTCACTTTTCCAAGTGCCACCTCCAGCCTGGCCAGATGCTGGGCCAGGAGGAGCCAGCCCGGCCCCTGCTTTGTGGCGGCTGCGTCCCCAGGGAGAGGCAGACAGGGTCACAGCCACCGGCAGAGCGTGTGACCTGTGACAGAGCAGCAGGCAGAGGCCCTGGGCAGGGGCAGTGTCAGGGGACTCCCATCCTGGTGTCAGAACTGCGCCTTGAAGGAGCGGGGAAGACATCAGGCGGGAAGCCAGGGAAGGACCTTCCTGGCTGAGGGAACAGCCTTTACAAAGAAAGGTCCCAGGAGGAAAAGCTTGGGCTGGGACTGGCTGGACTGGGGGATATCTGGAGCAGCCGCAAGTACCAGGGTGTTGGAGGTTCCCCACCTAGGGGGCTGTGGCAAGGTGTGGCGTGGCCAGCCCTGTTTTGGAAGGCTGCAGTCTCTGGCTGCAGTGTGAAGGGCTGGGGGCAGGAAGCACAGAGAGGAGGTGGCCCGACCGCTGTCAAAGCAGATGGTAGTGGATCCTGTGCTCGCCCGGCACCGCCATGCCCAGCATGGTCACCAGAGGGCGCTGTGGGCTAGCAGTCCGTGATGCCCACCTGTGCAGAGCTGCGCGTGGCTGTGTATGTGAATGTACCCGTGCGGCCACTCTGCGTGATGTACACACTTATGCACTCCGTTTGTGATCGTGTGCGTGCATGTGTATTTTGGGTGTGTGGACTTGCACAGATGTAAAGGGGAAACACGGGGTTGAGATTGTGCAAGGACGTGTGGCAAGGATGTCCCAGAGCTACATAGAGAAGAGGCCCCTTGCCTCCCACCACTGAGCCACACTGGCCTCCCAGTTACTGCCCTACAGGCTCTCTGCTTCAGGGCCTTCGCTCATGGTGTTCCCTCTGCCTGGAGTGCTCCTCCCCCCAGGAATCTCTGTGGCTCCCTCTCATTCCCTCACCTCCCTGGGTCTCTGTTTACACGACACCTTCCAGGGAGGCTGTTCCTGGCCTTCTCTTTAATATTACAGCTCTCACCTCCAGACACATTCCTCCCCCCTCTTGCTTTTCAAAATTTAACTTGGGCATTTTGCTTGTCTGGCTTGCCCGCTAGGTCATCACTTCCCCAAGGACAGGGAGCTCTGTCTGTTCAGTGTTCGGTCATCAGTGCTAGGCACACAGTAAGTGCTCAAATGAGTATGAACAGGCTGCCCCATTCTGGCTTTAGATCAGCCCCTCTCTCCAGCATACTGTCACCCCAGGCCCCGCCCCACTCAGCTCACACATCTTGCCTTTGGCTGCACTCCTTCCCAGCCTGAGCCTCAGTTTCCCTGTGTCTGTAGAGAAGGGGATTTGGGCTTTTCTCCTAGGACTCAGGGTAAGAGGCAGCCTCCTGTGACCCATGCCAAATGCCCCTTCTGGTTTTCGAGTGGTCATGGAGTTTCCGAGCCAGACTATGCTGTTTAGAAAAGTTGCTCCAACAAGCCAGGAAGAGACAAGGATCTGACAGCTCCCTGGTGGGGCTCGCCCTCGCCTGACCCTCACCTGTGGCCCTTTTTACACCCTGAAGAACCCTTTGCCTCTGCTGTTCTTTTCTCAGGATGCTCTTCTTGCTTCTCTGCCTGGCAAGCTGCTACTGGCCCTTTAAAGCTCCCAGTCTCAAAGTCTCCTCCTCGAGAAGCCTTCCCTGACCCACCCAGGTGGAGTCCAGCACCCTCCTGAGACTCTTGCTCATGTATCTATTTATAATAGCCGCATGGCGTGTGTGATTCTTGGGCTGTTTATCAGGCTCCCTGACTAACCCATAAACTCCTCATATGCGAGGGCCTGAGTCATCTGGCTGCCTAGGGGGCTGGCACGGGACAGGAGTCACTTCATCTATGTCCCAGGCATGCTTTCCTCCTTCTTTTGCTCATTCCTCAAACATTTATTAGGCACCTACTGTGTGTCTGACTCTGGGTTATGCATTGGGAATGCAGCAGGGAATGAGGGACAGAGAACTGCGTTAAAAACAGTAACAAAGGCCTCATGGCATAAGTGCTGTGCTCAGAATTAAGGCTATTTGGGGGCTGTGAAGAGGAAGGCCTCTAAGGGAAACTCATTTAGGAGGAGGTCTGAGGCATGAGAAGGAACCAGCTCCAGAAGGCTTGGTGGGGAAACAGGGGCCTGGGGAAAGACGCTCTGGGCAGAGGGAGCAGCAAGGCCAAGGCTCTGAGGCATGACCACTGCTGGCACAAAGACAGCACTAAGGCCCTTGAGCATACCAGCGAGCAGAGGGGTAAGGGGGACTACAGGAGTGGTCAGAGTGCTCCACTGGGGCCAGAACCCAGAATGCCCGTGGGACCAGGCCTGTGGTTCTGGTAGAGAGGCAGCTGCTGCTGGGGACCCATTTTACAAATGGATAAGTGCAGGTCACCCGGGTGGTATGGGCAGGATGGAGGTGGCCCACGGTGTTTACAAACTCACATTTCCTCAGCTAGGCACTTCTAAGCCTAAGCTCATGAAACACAGAGGCCTCGTTGTCCCCACTGTAGGTAAGTAAACTGAGGCACAGAGCTGCTTGCTGACTTCTCTGAGATCATCCGGCTAGTAAGTGGCAGAGTTGGCATTTGAACTCATACCTATCTGAGCCCATAACTCATGATTTTCTTTCCCACTGCCTGGAAAGGGTGAGCAAGGACCCAGGAAGGCAATGATAGTTACAAGGTCTTCCCCTCTTATCTCCCCGGCTTCCCCCCACCGTGGGGGCGGGGCCCTGCGGGGATCGGCCTCATTTCGCACACCAGCAAGCAGAGGTCAGCCCCTTGCTCCAAGCGTTTCTAGCAGGTGGTGGAGTCTGCTTCCCTCACGTGAGGTCCCTGACAGGGCACACACTCATGCTGCCTGGAGGACAGGGGCTGACCCCTTGACCTTTGCCGGGTGCCTCCTGTCCTCATTAGCCCTGGCTTTCCACGCAGGGTCACCTGATCCCAGCGCCAGACTGGTCAGAGTTCCTGAAATCTCCCGGGGCTCCACGTGGGAGCAGAGGAGCATCCGCCATCCCGCCATTGTGCAGATGGGCTGACTGAGGCACCAAGAAGACAGGTGGGAACTGAGGCCCAGGAGAGAGCCAGGCTGGGACCTCGGGGCTTGTGGGAGGGAGGAAAATGCAGCGGGATGCCACCTCACTCCCTCTGAGACTCAGTTTCTCCCTGTGTAGGACAGGGGTGGTAACAACCCACCATGCATGCTACCTGTCCTGACTTGTTCCCAGGCACCGCCTGGTTCTCGGCCGAATCGGCCGACGCCTTGTCCGGTCCTCACAGCAGGGCTGCCATGCCGCTCTTTACCCGAGAAGGAAACCGAGGCTCCGGGTGTCACCGACGTGCCCAAGGTCACCCACTGCAGAGCTGCCGAGTCCGATCCGACAGCAGTCTCGCCCGGGAGCGCACCCTTAGTCCCGCCGCGGCACTCGGCCGGCCCGCCCAGCTGGCCCCCGCCGGGCCCCCGGGGACCTCGGCGGGACTTTTCAAGACGGCGCCGACCGGCCGGCGCAGCGCACCCGCGGGCTGCGAGGCGCGGGCTGCGAGGCGCGGGCGGGCGGCCCGCCGGCGGAGGGCCTGCGCGGCGCGCGCGCGGCCGGAGGGGCTGGCTGCGCCTGGCTCTCGCGGCGGCGGCGGGCGGGCGCGGGCGGGGCCGCGTCCTGGGCGAGGCTTACGCTTGACAGGCAGGGCCAGGCCGGCGTCTGATAGGTAGGGGACGGGCCTGGAGACGGGCGGGCCAATCGGCACGCGGGGCGGGGCCTGCGTCGGCGCCGTGCGGCGGGGCCCCTGCGGCGCTGCCCAGTCTGGCTCCGGCGCCGCCTGTTGCGGACGCGTCTCGGCGCTGCCCCCGCCGCCGCCTCTGCCCCGTCGCCGTGCTCTGGCGTCTGCCCGCAGCCATGAGCTCGTTGGGCCCCGGTGGAGCCCGCCGTCCTCTAGATTAGTCCCCGCCGCCGCCCCGGACCTGCCTGCAGCATGGAGTCTCCTGCCTCGAGCCAGCCCGCCGGCATGCCCCAGTCCAAAGGTAGGTGCGCCGGGCCGGAACCTCGGCCTGACCCCCGCGCCCAGTCCGGGTCCGGGCTGCGAACCCCGACCTCTGTGTGGTTCCACCCCATCCTGTTCCGACCTGGCAGCAGCTCCCGGTCCCAGAACCTCCTCCTGTTCGAGTCCTGTGTCTGATCCCAGCCTTTGGGACTGTACCCAGGCCCGGGACTGTACCCAGGCCCAGGATCTCCCAGGCTTGACCCAGGCTAGGACCTCTCCAGGTCAAGAACCTGACTCTGACCTCATTTAGGTCTTAGGGCTGTAGCCTGGACAGGAACTCTCCCAGTGTTCGGCCCTCGGCTGGCGCCAGGTGGGATTCATGATCATCCCCACCTGGGTCCTTGGGCAGCACCCTTCCAGTCTTGGGCCCCAGGGCTGTATCCAGGCTGGGATATGACTCTGACTATCTGGGCCCCAGAGGTGCTCCTGTTGGGGACCTTACTGTACCCCGTGCGGTGGCCCTGACTGCACCCCACTTCACAACTCCCTGTCCTCTCCCACAACTCTCTCCAATCCTGTAGGCCCTACGTTGCTCTTTCCCTGGCAGGGCTGCACCCTATCCTGCAGCCTTGTCCCCTGGGAACCTCTCTAGGCTTCCCACCTTTCTCTAATGCACAGCCCCCTCTCTGCTGGCTCCTCTTTGTCTGGTGTTTCGAGCTTCCCTGTGCACTTGGGGAGCTCACCCCATCTCGTGCCTCCGTGTCTTCAGGGCTGATTGCCCCCAGGCCTGTCCTTGCTGCTTGGGGTCTGGGCCAGCCGCCAGGGCAGGGTGCTGGCTGTGCAAGGGACTTGCCTGCGTCTTCCCCAGGTTACCAGCCTTCCTGGAAATTTCTGTGTGGTGGCAGAGGTGGCAGCAGCATCTGTCATGTGGAGGGGGAGGATGAGACTTGGAGGGCAAAAGGGGGATTTTTTTTTTTTTTCAGGAAGAGGAAAGGATGTTTTTGGTGTGTCAGAGTCTCAGTAGGCTGGGTTGTGTGAGAGATTTCCAGACTTGACATAGCTGTGATGAATGGGCTACCCCTGGCTCTCTGAACACGCTGCTGCCTCACCCAGCAAGCCCCTTGATGTTTGTGGTCTCTGTGCCTCAGTTTCCTTATCTGTAAAATGGGAGTAATCACACCTACTTCTGTGGACATTAAGAGTGTGACATGAGATAGTGAATACTAAAGAGCTTTAATTTAATCAAGTGTGGGCGAAGTGGTGAAGAGCTCGGCTTTGCACCTGGCACATAGTAGGTGCTCAGGAAGAGATACTCACTGCATATCCTGTTCCATTTTTCCTGCTGGAAAGGCCTCTGCAGTGCAGGGTCAGGATCTTGCCTCTGTTGGGACTGCAGCTGCAGAGAGAGCAGGAGAAAGCTAGCAGTGGCATCTAGCAGGCCCCTAATCAGGCATCAGCCCCTCCTTCCTGGAAGGCTGCAGGCAGGGAAGCACTTGTGGGGGCCTGGGAAGGGCATTGGTCCTCTCTGGCCCTGCTGCTGGTGGCTGCAGTAGCTGGTGCTGTGGGCTGGAGCCAGGTGGGCAGGGAAATTATGTCTTACATAAGTGGGAGGCCGGATCCCTGACCATTGCCCAACCACTGTGAGTAACTCAGGAGGCACTCGCTGGGGGAGGTGGCTGGGGAGGGACTTGCACTGCACAGACCTCGTGGAGCTTGGGAACTGGGAAATTGGATACTTCTCCACTCTGGAGAGCTTGGGGAAGGGGTTGGAAGCAATGTCTGGTTTTGGAGGCATTTCAGGGGAATGCCTCATCAAAATAAAAGCTTGATTTGCAGTCTTGTGAAGGGAGGGGGGTCATGGATGTGGTAGGGAAGCACAGTGGGGTGCTCTGTGGCTTGTGCCCTGCTGTTGCCCCCTCTGGGCTTCTCTGCAGAGAGGGCCAAGATGAATTTCCAGCTTATAGATCCAGGTCCCAGATGATGTTGTGTGGGCTGGATGGACGGTCAATGGCCTCCTCAAGACCCAGGGACCCTGTAGCTTCTTTGGGGTCTGGGGAAGGATGTGGTGGGAGTGCCACAGTGCCCCTCATCAAAATTCCTAAGGCCTCCCACTTCCCAAGCTTTTCCCCATATGTCATGCACTCTCTTATTTATTTTTCATAGCCCCATTTACAGATGAGGAGACTGGGGTTCAGAGGCATTTAGGTGCCTTGTGTGAGGCCACACAGCTGTGACACATGGAGCCAGGGTACCAGCCAGGACTGTGTCCCCCACAGTGGTCTCTCCGGTGCTACCCTGTGTTTCACTGCTGTGCAGGATGCTTGAGCTGAGCTGGTGGCATTCCCTCCACCCAGCGCCACCCTAGAGGATGCACTGAGGCCTTGTGTGCACACCCATTTACAGTTGGTACATTGCATACTCATTACAGTCTGACGCATTTGACAGATGCAAAACTGAGGTCAGACAGGGGAGTAGCTGGACTGAATCCACAGGTGGGGGTCCTCACCCTGTGCCCTCCCATCCTGGGTGCTGGGCCCCCAGCATTGAGCTCTTCTCTACCTTCTCAAAGGAATTTGGACAAAGCAGGGAGTGGCTGGCACTTGACCTTACTGGAGCTTTACCTTTGAGCTTCCTGCCTTGCAGCGGGTGCCCTGCCCCGTCCTCTGTGCTGCCGGCCTGGGGGATTCTCTGTGGGTGCATGAGGTCCCAGGCCCACAGCCCTGCTGGTCCCCCAGCCTTCCCACCCACATGTCATCTCTGGCTGGAGTCAGAGGCTAAGGGCAGGGGCACGTGTGCTCAGCATGATCCAGGTCTGCAAGCCACATGTATCCTGTTGCTATTCACAGTGTGGCCACTGACCCTGCTGCCCTGGGAGTGCCACCTGTGGGGGCATTTCACGGTAATCTTCACACAGCTCAGACAGTGGTTGGATGGCTCCTGACTGCCCAGCGGGGACGCTGAGGCTGCAGGAAGCACTGTTGTGTCCTGGCCCTGCCTGTTGTGGCTGCTTCCCTCCACCCCGACCCCAGCGGCTGTCGGAAAGACTGGAGGGTGACACCTCAGGGACTTCCCCCACCCTGGCGTGACGCACAGGAAACTCTCTATCAGCCAACCCGTGGCTCAAGGCCCAAAGGGAGCAAAGTTCTCAGTTGGCCCGTGTGAGGAGAGGACCGGGGCAGTGGAGGCTTCCGGAGGGTGAGTCAGCGGGCACTGGGCGCTGACTCACCCGCTGGGCATGCCAGCCGGCTGCTCGCAGCTTAAAGGGGCAATGCCCGTGGGCCTAGTGAGTGGGAGGGGGCTACGTGCCCTGGCCCCACAGGCAGCACCTGGCCCTGAGCTGGGGCACTGGAGGTGGCTCCTTCCTGGACCTCAGGCTGGGCTGGGACCCCTGGGCAGGCTCTCTTGGCCTTCCGCACCCAACCTAGGAACTTCCTCTATTAGGCAAGGAGCTCAGCTCTGCTTCCTCTTACTCACGGAGAAGGAGCAGGTGGCAGTGGCTGTTTACTGTCCTTGGCCCAGGGGACTCCTCAGGCTCAGATGTGTAGCTGGGGACTCAGGGAGGGCGAGGAGCAGAGACAGTGCAAGGTCAGCCTGGTGGGACTGGCCCGGGCTCCTGGAAGGCAGTGATGTTCAGGAGTTAAGGACTCAGGCTCTGCAGCCTGCCTGGCTTCAAATCTCAGCTCAGTCCCCCTTTCTTTTTTTTTTTTTTTGAGATAGTCTCACTCTATTGCCCGGGCTAGAGTGCCGTGGCGTCAGCCTAGCTCACAGCAACCTCACACTCCTGGGCTCAAGCGATCTCCTGCCTCAGCCTCCTGAGTAGCTGGGTCGGTCCCTTTTTTTGAAGTCACATCAGACAAGTTGCGTCTGGTCCATTCTCTGCACTGTGTAAGTGATTTCAGTCCCCTGGGCATGTCCTAGCTTTCAGAGGAGAAACCTCAGTTTCCTGATCTGCCAAATGGGAATGGGGGCCCTGCCTGTCTGGATGCAGACACTCTCATTCCATACTTGCTAAGTGTTGAGTACTGGTCCCAGCAGGCTACCCTCTGTCCAAAAGAATCCAGCCAGCGAACACCTTGGCAAGGGTGGATGGAGCCTGGGCTCTGAAGGGATGGGCCTGGGTTTGAATCCTGGCTCTAGTGTTTCCTTACCTGGGGCAAGTCACATGCCCTCTCTGACCCTCAGTCTCCTCTTCTGTAAGTGGCAGTAAACACTCCTCCCTTGCAGGGTGGTGGTAAAGATCGGAGATAGTGTTTGTCAAAGGAATGGCATCTGTTATTATTTTATCATTGTTATGGTTGTGGCTGTTGTTTGTTGGTAGGTGAACAAACAGGTCCTGGACTTGTAGGCTCTGTTACATGAGGCTGTAGGGTCCTTTAATGCTGGCCGGAATTTACCAGGCATTAGGACCCCTTGCCCCACTGCTCCCCAGACTGGAGCCTGGGGGCTGCCCGTTGCCTCCAGGACCTTCCCGCAGAGGGTGAGTGGGGAACTGAGAACTGGGGTGCCTGACTCTTCAGGTCTGCTCCGCCCCCCAGCTTGGACACGAGGAGAAGCATGGGACAGGGAATCAGGGCCAGCCTCCCAGGCCAGCCCCTCACCTGCAGAGCCGTGTCAGTGCCAGGCAGGGCGCTGGCTGTGGGGAGCGACGTGTTCGGCCTTCCATGAGGCGCTCCACCCAAGGAGCAGGGGGAGGGCCTGGCGTTGTGGTTCTGGGGCTCGGGCCTGAGTCAGGGGTGTCAGTGGATGGCAGGGCCGAGCTGAGGGGCACTGCCGGGTGCAGGGCAAGGCTGGACACAGGGCTTTGGGGCCAGTGTTTCAGGAGGGCCCCGAGGAAGAACCTGGGTTGCAGAGTGCAGGACGCTGTGCGGTGGCAGAGAGCTGCACGACGTAGAAAGGCCCACCCAGGCCCACCGTGCCCCTTGGCTGGGCCTCCCAGTGTTGCCCACTTAAGTCAGGCCTGCTTGCCCGCCAGCTCTGTAGATGCCACCTCCCAGCAGTGGCCCTGGAAGCCCCAGAGAGATTCACGTCAAGGGCGTGACA